GATTATTTTTAATAAGAAATGTGACTCCAGTGACCTATGCATTTGGAACTTGAGTTTCCAATGCAAAATTAAGATGTATAAATTTTTATATTTACTCAACTAATCAAATTAACAATATAATTCAAATAATAAACAGTTTGTGGTCAATTTGTGCTTATTATATTGCTATTTGTGTAATCATTCTTTATATCATTTATTTTATCTATTTTTTTACTTATTTTATTTTTTGCTGGTAGTAGGGCTTGAAATCAGGACCTCTTGTTCTTTCCTAGCTTTTCTATTTTTCTCAAGGCTGGTGTTCTACTGCTTAAGCCATGCTTCCAGTTCTGGATTTTTGATGATTGATTGGAGGTAACTTTCTCTCTGATTTGTTTGGGCTGGCTGCAAACCTTGATCCTCTTATCTCAGCCTTTGAGTGGCTAAGATTACAGGCATGAACCACCACTACTAGGCTAGTAGTAAAGAAACTGCCTGATACTGATCATATTTGCCAATATTAGTAATTGTATGAGGATATATACAATGTTCATGTTAGTATTTCATTATTGGACATACGGCATTGTAAAATATCCAATTTCCCACTTTATTATTATATTTTAATATGGTGGACAATATCCTTTTTCATTGCTGTGAAAAAATAACTTGTCTCTACCTTTCTGGCATTATTATATATAGTGTATTAAATATAGTGGCTTTTGCTAAAATTAAAAAAAATAAATAGATAAAAACCCTCAGTAAGGCAGGAGCCTGGCATTCTGGCAGTAGCCCTCAGCCCAGGCAGCCTGCCCTCATAATGGCTAAGGTTTTGCTTGTTAGCTTTAAATATTTCCATTTAAAAATTTGAGCTGATGCGGAGGAATTCATTGTTGGTATTTCTGGGCAATGGTGTGACATTTCAGCATCAAATGGTGCCCTTGGTATACAAACCACAATGGATATTTCTCTTGTTACTAGCTTTTAATTCATCAAGCTCTCACTGTTTGTTTTTCCCTCACAGGATCTCTCTTTTATCCCCATGCTTCCATTGAATGACTGATCTTCTCAGAGACTGAGCCCATGGCCCTGGACATACAGCTACTAAAAGATGAGCCCAGAACAATGATATGACTCTGGGCCATCTTCACCCAAACCTGCTTTACCTATTAGTCTGTCTGGTGGATTCATTTACCACTTCCTGAGTAGAGCCTGAATAGCAGAAAGGGGGAGGGAGGGGACTAAGTGAGCTGGGAGAGGGAGGGGCATGCCTCAGGGAGGCCTGGGCTTCTGTGAGTGGAGAGGAAGACTGAATGCTTCTGAAGAAGCCAGGAAGCCAAGGAGCCAGGAGTGAGGAGAAGGCAGTGAGAAACTTGGCTTAGAAAGAAGACAACTCCAACAAAGAAAAACCTCTTGTGTCCATGTCTTGGAGTTCATTTCGCTTAGCATCATCTTATATGGTCATTTGCACATAGCTATTGAGCTATTCTGCTCAGCTGCTAAGATTATCCTAGATGGATACGAATTATTGCACATAAAGGAAACCATAGGACCTATGTTTCTTTGGGTCTGGCTTACTTCACATAATAGGATTTTTTCCAAGTCTTTCCATTTCCTTACAAATGGGATGGTGTTATTCTTTCTGATGGAAGCATAGAATTAAATATATGTGTGTATGTGTGCGTGTGCGTGCGTGTGTGTGTGTGTGTGTGTGTGTGTCTCACATTTTCTTGATCCAGGATAGGTGCTTTTGTGCCAGCATCAGCTTTCACTGAAACTTGTCATCACTTCTCTTTCTTTCTGTGCTTTAAAAAAAGAAATCTCATGCAAGAACTTGATGTGCATGAGAAGTATGGGGGCCATGCGTGTCCAACAGTAATCAGGAAGGGAATTTATAGCAAGCCAGCCAGAACCACAGCTTCTTGCTACAGAGAGAAAGGCTGAGCTTCCAAGCCCAGCGCACTGAGCCAATCAACAAAGTGCTCCACGGAAGAAGCCTCATTCTCGAGAAGAGCTTTTTGAGAAAATCATAATTGGAGTGTGTGACAGAGGGGAACCTCCAGATAGCAGATGGGGGCATAACCAATTGTTTTAAATTACAAGTGGCTCCAGAGCCTTTCTGTAGGGGGATCAGTGGTTGATCCTGCACTTTGTATTCAGTACCCGATGAATGAAGGCAGCCCTGTAAGGGAAACCATCTGAGGGTGCTGTGCAGACAGGAGGACTTCCACCTTGGTGACAGTGGCTCAGTTTACCAATGATGTACGTGTGCATTTCACTGTCAGTGATGGTTGGCAAAGCCACTTCCTGATGCCTGTGTTCTTTCAACATCACCTCATATGGGGTCTACATATGAAAAATGCTTCCACTTAGTTATTCATTATTTGTTAAAAACTATTGATAGATTAAAAGAAAAAACCAACCTCCTGGCACTTGAACTCAGGGCCTCACGGTTTCATTTGGCCTTTTTGTGCTCAAGACTGGTGCTCTACCACTTGAGCCACACTTCTACTTTTAGCTCTCTTTTTTATACCAGTCCAAGGGCTTGAACTGTGGACCTGGGTGCTGTCCCTGAGCTTCTTTTTGTTACGGGTTAATGCTTGACCACTTGAGCCATGGCGCCACTTCTGGCTTTTTCTGCAATGAATTGGAGATAGAAGTCTTACAGACTTTCCTGTCTGGCTAGGTTTAAACTATGCTCCTCAGCTCTCAGCCTTTGAGTAGCTAGAATTACAGGTGTGAGCTGCCAGTGCCTCACTCACTTCTGAGTTTTTAGTGGTTATTTGGAAATAAGAGTTAGATAGACTTTCCTGCCCAAGTTGGCCTCAAACCCTGATCCTCATATCTCAGTCTCCTGAGTAGCTAGGATTATTACAAGCATGAGCCACCAGTGCTTGATGCTTTCATTTATTGAAAACCTACCACATGCCATGTCTTGTAGCCATGACATCTGATGTCATCTCCCTTCTCTGGCTGAGGAATGTCCCTTGGGATTTGCTCTCTGATGTGACACTAAGTCAGTGACATTCATGGCTCTCCCCCAAACCTGAGCACACCAGCTTGCATTCAGGGTGCTTCATCTAATCTCAGAAATGACTGGCTCATGTACACACGATAAAGGTCATGGAGCTCCCGTCTAGCCTTACACTCAGAAGGCTCACTCTATCCCAAGACTTTCCAAGCCTGCTCATGACCATACACATGGTCCCGGGAACTCTCAAGAGACCAGAGTGGGTACCAAATACGCTTCCAGAAGTCTCTAGAAACTTCCTCACCAATCTCTGCATTCCACAGTAGGAGGCATCACCAGGAGGGGCTCTACACCTGCCGTCCCTCCACACCTCAGCTGGTTTTCCACACATCACATCTTGCCCAATCACTACCAGGAAGCCTTAGAATTTTCTGGAAGCTGAGGCAAGGGTTCAGGTATGGCCACACTTCCACCACAGAAATGCTGGAGCTTTGATTCCCTCCGCACTTCTTTCCTGGAAGGAAACTGAAGAAATTCAGCTCTCGGGAATTAAGATAGGAGATTCAACCCAGAGCCTTTGGGTTTTGATCACAGCAGTATTCAGTTTCCCCAGGAAACTGCTGGGATTTCTCTAGACCCCACCCCTGGGATGGTCCTGACCACCACAGAGCTTATGCTACCCCCACCACAGGATTGGAAATTCCAGTCCTCATGTTGTTTGCGAGACTAACACCTACCCCCCCAAAAATCTCTAAACAATAAAAGGAAAACGGCATTTTCTGTACCTTAGAAATAACACAATTCTAGAACTTTATCTGCTACTTAAAAATGCCATTTTCTTGGGGGGGGGAGAAGGGAAATGCTACCAATTTCAACAGTTTCCATAATATTTCTAAGTTTGTGATACACTTTCTTCCATACCTAGGCATTCTCTAGGGAGAATTGCATGCTCTCTCACACACTCATCTAGGCTGTGGTGTTTTGGCCCTGTCCTCTGATCTTGTCTGAAAGTGGTATATGACTTCACTGTATCCTAGTTTAGAACAAAGCAGTTAGACTCCACATCTTTTCTTTCTTGATGTGTGATCTTTTTCTGATTTCTTTTTTCCTCCAGGGGAAAAAAGAGAAATGTTCCATGCTCTCCTTTAGAGCACAAAAATTGGCTTCTTAAAAATGAACAAATGGTTGGGTGCTGTTGGCTCACATCTGTAATCTTAGCTACTCAGGAGGCTGAGGTTCTGAGGATCAATATTTGAAGCCAGACAGGATGAAGCCCTTGAAATTCTATTTTCAATTAACCAGGAAAAATTTGGCTAGAGGCATGGCTCAAGCGGTAGAGTACTTGCTGAGTAAGCAAGCTCAAGGTTCTGATTTCAATCCTAGTACTAGGATAAGAAAGAGAAGGAGAAGGAGGAGGAGAGAAATAAACAAAAGTAAGAAATATAAACACATTTTTTACTTTCTGGGGGGAAAAAGATGCACTTAGGGTATCTAAATAAGTGTTAGAACAAAAATAGTTCTAACATTTCTTTTTTCTTATTTAATGTATAATCCAGCTTTTACTACTATCTACGAGGCTTTGACTCTTTGAAGAACAACCAAACTTCTACAAAGGAATACCCAGACAGCACCAGACAATTCACTGAAAACAAATAAAGGAGCTCAGACTCACCAGTTTAAAACAAAGCTAAATATGTCTTAAAAATAGTTTTACCTTCGGATTCTTTATAGTAAGTAGAATTTCTACACTGCATAGAAACTGCTGATCAAGTTGCTCAAAGGCTGTGTGCTAATAGTGGACATTTTACTTTCTCCCCCACCTTTAATTTTAGTTTTTGTCTAGTTTGTGTTGCAAGAAAGAAAGGGGAAAGGCCTCCCTACCAACGGAACAGAGCAATTGTAGCAAACCACAGTTTGTGTGGTTTCTGATCATTGACGTGAGCCATGGCAACCACCGGAAGTTCTGTTGTTGTCATTTCAACTCTGGATTTTCCTTTTCCTTGCTCTTTCTTAGCTCAGAACTGCACAGCAAGGCCTTCCTGCAGTTCTTTCCAGACCAGGCCCATGGGGTTCTCTCATGGACTCAAAATAGTCAGGAGTGTGTGTGTGTGTGTGTGTTCCACACTTATTGCCTAATGTGCATGTGAAAGTGTGTGTTGAGGTGTGACAGAAAGGAAGAGGAAGAGAGAGAGGAAAAGGAGGAGAGAGAAGATTGATCCTGTGAACTGACCTTGGGCACTCTTAGTGACCTCTTTAGAGGGTCCCTGGTGCCTGGCTCAGAGATGAAGGACCCCAGGAAAGTCTTCCCTGCAGTCTCTCTGTTGCTCCTTCTGATCTCTTATTCCTCAGCCTCTCCAGCCTCTGACCACCGACCGAGAGCCAGCTACTCTAATGGCCACGTCTGTGTAGGTACGTAAATACTTTTGTTTTATATGCATGGACATAGCACTGAGATATTTTGCTTGCACAATAAATCACTTGTTTAATGATGCGAATAGGTTAAGATTCCACCTAAGGCCCCAATAACTTCATCAACATGGAAAATGTTGAGTCTAAGAGTAAGTATTGATAACATATGCACCTATGTGCTTATAGAAGTCCTATCTATGTTGCACGATTGAATTTGTTATAAAACTCTCTACTTTTTGCATGCGACTAGAATTTTTTTCCCCTTGGAACAGAAACTATAACAGCCTGAAATTCTTCTGAAATTCTGAGAATAGACATAAGACGTCTGAGCTGATGTTGTTGTCCACCTCTTCCCCTCTCATCCACTCATACTGGCTATTTCTTAACCCTTTCTCTGTCTCTCTGAGTAAGAACTACCTCCATGTGTGTTTGTGTGTGGTGTCTATGCACACAGTAGGACTCAGATGTCCCCATTTCCTTCATCCTTCCAAGAAGTCTGTGTTGGTGGTGGCAGCTGGAAACTTCAAACACTGACAGAAATAGTTTCTCAACTGACTTTCGACTGAAGTGTTTTACTTCTAACATATTTTATATCAGTTTTTGTTCTTGTTTCTTTTGTAAAAGGAATATGAAATAGGGCGAGACAATGATTTTCATACTATATCTGGAATTTCAATAGAAATAGTTGTCAGGGACTACAGTTCAGAGGTATGCAGAAGAAAGTAGCAATTGTTCAATAAGCAGACCTCTGGCTCAGGATTGTAATTTGAAGATGATGTTGGGGCAATGGAGGTATTGCCGTGAACAAAAAAGCCAAATGATGGTGCAAGGCTCTGATTTCAAACCTCAGGATCAATGAGCCAGGCATTATGGCTCTTGCCTCTGTCATACTAGACACTTGAGAGACTGAGATCAAGAAGAATAGAGTTTCAGGTCATTTGGGGCCAAAAAATAATAGAAAACCTTTTTTAAAATGTGAGATACCATCTCGATGGAGAAAACTGAATATGAAGGTTCAGACCTGTCATACCAGCTTCAGCAGAAATCAAAGAATCATGATTCAGGCTGGCTCAGGCCAACAGTGAGTTATCTCAAAAATAATTAGAACAAAAGGGTTACAGATTTGGCTCAAGTGGTACAACATCTGACTAACAAGCACAAAGCCTTGAGTTCAAATCCCCTGTCACCAAAAAAAAAAAAAAAAGATAAAGGAAAAAAATAGAATTCTGGCTGAAATGTTCTTGAAGATATTCAGGATACTAGCCATATCCTTAATTATTTGTAGAAACAGTATTAAAAATGTCTGAACTGGCTTGGTGTTGGATCACATCTGTAACCCTAGCTACTCAGGAGGCTGAGATCTGAGGATCATGGTTTAAAGTTAGTCCAGGCAGTGAAGTCCATGAGACTCTTATCTTTAATTAACTATCAAAAAGCCATTAGTGGAGCTATGCCCAGGGACACTGCCTAGGCCCCTAGGCCCTGAGTTCAAGCCTCAGGATTAGTAACACACACACACACACACACACACAATTCTGAATCAGTCTCACTTTGCCAAAGACATAACCTCTGGTCACTGTATATGTCAGAAAACATCTCCAGTCCTGAAGTTTTTTACATTTATTTTTATTAATTTATTCATTCATTCATTCATTTTTGGTGTTGATCCTGAGGTTTGAAATCAGAGCCTTGCACCATCATTTGGCGTTTTTGTCCACGGCCCCAACATCTTCTTCAAATTACAACCTAAAGACCAAGATCCAGTAGGAATCTAGCAACTCAGTTGTAAGTTTAAGGATCCTAGGAACCAAGCCTGAAATATCATCTGCAATCAGTATTTCTTTAAGTCATTATTTATTCCTATCCCATCTTCTCCAAGGAAATGCCTAAAGCCTATCAAATGCAAACCTATTTGAGAAAGGCCTGAGTGAAGCGAGTCCTACTTCTAGGCTGCCTGCAAAAGAAATCTCTAGGCTTAGTCCAGGCCTGAGACAAACAGGCTGGCACCCTGTAAAATGAACACAAGATTCTTAATCTCTTTCTTGTTCCATTCCCACCAAAGTACAGAGAGTGAGGAGGAGGCATTGAGGGGGGACCAAGAGGGACACTACTCTATTTATGTACTGATGCACAGGAGATAACACCAACCATTTTGTTATATGATGATTTTGCCAGGCATTTACTCAGAGCATAGCTTGTGCCCCAGGCAGGAGTGACAGAGGATCTGGCCATGTCCCTTACTTGTCGTCTAGAGTATGGAGGATGACTAGTTGATTCCTCTGGAAATTTACGATGGCATGCCAGAGGTGTGGGATTTCTCATAAGGCTGCTAGGCCAGCCTAGAGAGAGAATTCCAATAGCTGGAAACAGCCAGGCTCTGTAGGCTTGAGTCCAGGAGCAGGCCCCTTGTCCCTTCTGCCAACCCATTTCCTCCGCAGCTCAGAATTTCTGGCCAAAAAAGCTATGTACATATGACCATATAAGATGATGTAAAGCCAAATGAACCCCAAGATAGGGACACAAATATCTTTTTTTTTCCTTATTGGTATTGTTTCTAACATACTTATAATGTACCATATGATTTTTTTTTGTTTCTTTGTATGTTCCTCTGGCACAGTATAACCCCTGTTTTCACTGTATTTGATGTCAGTGCTCTGCATCTTGTATATACACTTTTCTAATTCGGGGAGGGGAAGGGAAAAAACAAAATGCTTAAGTAGGGATACAGGTTGACCCATTGTAACAATGATATGTACAATGAAATGTACAATTTTACAACTTCGGTGGTGGTGGGGGGGAGTTGTGGAGGTGGGAGGGAAGGGATGGTGGGCTTGTTTTCCAGAAAGTCACCATGACATTAGAGCAAAACAAGAACTGGAGACTTGAAAATGAGTGAGGAATGGATAATCTACTGCTTCTACAGAGGAGGAGGCAACAATGCTCAATAGGAAATGTATTGCTCATGTAACTGTAACCCCTCTGTACAGCATTTTTACAATAAAAAAAATGTACAAAAAAAAAAAAGAATCTCTGGCCAACTCAGCCTGGGTAACAAGAGAAGTGGGTGTGGCAGGAATCTACTCATGGGAATCACACATTACTGAGCACCAGCCATCAGCCAAGCCAGGAGTTCACCACTGTCCTAGCTGGTGCTGTGCTCACCACGGTGGGGCAGATAGAAACAGACAGCACAAAACTAAGAAGGGGAAGGCAGCAGGAGGGCAGGAAAGAGAGGCCTGAATACAAAAAGAGAACCGAGCTACAACAAAGACCCCTCCAAGTTACCCCCAAAGTAGTCTAGGCCTCAGATTTCCTAACATGAGCCTCCCCAGATGAGAACCGACCTGGGGAGAGAGAGGTGCTGTCTCCCTGCCATTAAGCGAGGCCTAGTGAGGGATGTGTCTGCTACCAGTACCCCTCAGATCAACCTGAAACTAGGGAGGGGCTCTGGGAGGGAGAATGGAGTGCTCTTACTTACAAGACCGTATGCAGGAACTGTCTTTGGAAGTGTGAGGTCCCACAGCTGGTGGAGGAGATAGAATGGGGCCTATCGGATGGGCTTCTGCTCCTCCTTCCCTTGATAACTCCTGACAGCTTTCTGGTAAAGGGTAGGCACATGCCCTGAATCTCTCCAGTAGAAGGGCGTCCTCCCCTCAGCATTCCCACACACAAACACTTCACATGGTCATTGGATGCTCATCATAGTCCCAGTCCAGCACTTGGAGCACAGGGGACACAAAGATGAATAATAGGCACTGAAAAGCCTGTTTTCCAGAAAGTCACCATGACATTAGAGCAAAACAAGAACTGGAGACTTAAAAATGAGTGAGGAATGGATAATCGACTGCTTCCCCCGGAGCTTGGTGATGAACTAGGAGGAGGGTGGTAGAAAGTCATAAAAGTCAAAGAGCAAACAGCTCTAGTGAATGGGGGAGACATCTGTTCTCTCCAAGGACTCTGTGGCTAGCACTTCCTTCCGGCGGGCACTATAAGGAACCTGATGAACAAAAACAGGCTAAACAGACAGTTGGATGTTTATCAACCCAATGGAGTAGGAAGGAGCCATCTTCATTATACTTCATTACTTCATTACTGTCACCATTCTAGACAAAGGCTTACTTTGATCAGAAAAGTTTATCTTTTCCTTCACTAATACCAAATAAATAAAAGAAAAAATAACAAAATATTCATAATCACCTTCCCAATACACAGTAGCAGTTACTTGGTCTGTTTTTCCCATGGAGTTTAAGTGGCTTAATTAGATTCTATCTACTTTTGTGCAGAAATAATCATATTATCTAGTAAGCATAAATGGATAGAGATAGATGGATGGGTAGATAGATAGATATGATATGATATGATAGATTTTGGTATTTTTAGAGTTTGAACTCAGGGCCTCATTATTGCTAAACAGGCTCTCCACCACTTGAGCCAGACTACCAGCGCTTTTTGCTTGAGTTATTTTGCAGATTGGGTCTTGTAATTTTTCCTGGGACCAGCGTCATCTGGAAATCTTCCTACCTACATCTCCCGCATAACCAGGATTATAGGTATTTACCATGAGTCCTGGCCTTAGTAATCATATTTGTTTCTGACTCTTAATGTTCATGTTGCTACTGTTCTACAGGAATGTTTTCAGCTCCCAAAACTCTGTAGGGGAGGGGGGATTTTTCCTCTATCTTTTTGCTGAGTTGAATCCGGAGTAATTGGAGTGATGCCTGGAGAAGGTAATTATTATATTCAAGTGTTCTACAACCATAGACATTACATTTCCAAATGAATAATTGTAAGTATTAGCACTATTGAGCACTTGTTGTGTGAAGAACAATCTTGCAAAAGGTTTATCGTATTATCTCATTGTGTCAATGACCTTGTAGACAAGTTATTATTGACCTCATCTGTCAGGTGTAAAGAAATCAAGTCAGAAAAATACAAAGCTCTGCTACTTCCTGTTGACTTAGGGATGTCAGAGGAGAAGCAGCCAATCTAGGAATCCTTTG